ATTTGAAGAGTAACTGTTGAAAAATATGAAATATTGACTTCAGCGCCATCTATTGGCTTAAATTTAAATTCAGAAATTTTCAACCAAACACGTAAATACATCAAAAATGAATGCTGGCAAAGAGTCGTCATTACTTATATCGGATTTTTAACTGGCAGTCCTTTCCAATACTTGATTAGTAAACCAAAAATCGGATTATCGGGAAGTAGGTACATGAATCGAATCATTAAATTGAACAAACGCTTGCCTACATTTAGGCGCGGTTTGCTTATTTCGGTTTTTTTAACTGACAGTCGTTTCGGATACGCTCGAAGGCGTTAGCAGTGAGGTGACACACGTAGCAGTTAACAAGGAAGAAGTCGGAGTCGGAGTTTGAGAAGATAAGCTGGTCTCTTCGACTATACAGCTTAAGACTACAGCTATCGGCAACTAGATATTTGCATCGGTAATATAATGAACTTATACCGTTATACCTATGTATATGTAGAAGCTATGTGAATGCCTTAAATTGAAAAAATAATTGCGCTGCAGCGCTAGTATCTCTAGTATTATTATTGTAGAATTCTATCTAAATTGATAGTAAATTCTTGCATCTCTCACCACCAACGCATGTCAATACGTTGGCAAGTGAGTGCATTTTCCGAAAGTTCAAAAATTCATACGCCACCCACTCGAACGTCACTCTAGTGCCTAGTTTTTGTAGCTGGCGCTGACTTCCATAAGATAAACATAGAAATATACAAATGATCATATGTGTGTGTGTGTGTCTAACTGCATGTTTACATGATCCATATGAACCCTGGGCCGCCGTTGAAGCACCTTTGATTGTGTATATATGTGTCTGTGAGTATGAGTGTGAGTATCTTTCTCGCTTACTCTGTTTATTTATTACACTTACTCATTTCACATGAGTTTCGTTAAAGGGTTGCATTCAAAAATAAATTCATAATAACAATGTGTTGCGTGTTCTCGGTTATACGTAATACATTTAGAAAAGTTTTCAAATCGATTTCCTAGAAAATAAAGGGAAGCAATACTGAGCAAGAAATTTATGGTGTGTATTGGAAATGCTTTTCAACAGGACACGCACGCATCATTCTGTGCAGCAAATCAATTTGTGCCACGAGTGCGTTTTGTGTTCTTTATTTTTTTATTTTTTTGTAGGAAAAAATTTGTTTCTAATTTTTTTTTAATTACATTTAGTTATATTTTATTATATTTTGTTTTGTTTTTATAATATTGAGATACTGATGATCTAAAATGTCTATCGCTATTTCTATCTATATTTATTTTATTTTATTTTTTCTTTGTTATTATGATACCTTGAACAGGATATATTAATGGGGAGCCTGCTTTAGAGGCTTAAAAAAATCTATTTTTTGAGGACTTTTTCGGGCGGGAAAGAAATAAGTGATTAAGGCCAAATTTCTTGGGTTTATAGTTATATATTTAAACATCATTCGCAATTTTTTTGGATACGAAATTCTTGATACTCTGACTTTGGGAAACAATTTCCCGATGCATCTCGCATGTGCAGTTATCGAACGGCGTGCTGGATGCACGTCGCAATTTCTATCGGAAACAAAAAATTCAAAGCGATTCATATTTTTTAATAATTCATCTTCTAGTTAAACTAAAAAAATTCCAAAACAGTATAAAATTTTACAAAAGTTTTAAAAATTAAAAAAAAAAAAGTATTTTTTGACTAAAAAARTTTTACTTTGTACTTGTTTTTTAAATAGAAGATAATTTAATGACAAAGATAACAAACTCTGCCCCAATTTAATGCGACGTTTAGTTTATTTTTTTCTATCCTGCCCGCCAATTAAGAATAGTCGTAAAAATGAAAAACCGAGAAATCGCGCGTCAAAGTTTTCGTTTTCTGCCCAATCGCTCATATATATCTGCTAGTTGCTCGGTCACTATTTCCCATCTAGCTTCGAAAATATTTCGAATTCTCATCTAAACCTTCGGGGACATATTCTTAAGTAATTTTTAAAGAGATTTAAACTAAATAAAATAATCGATTTTTTGAAGCTTCTAAAGCAGGCTCCCCCCTTAAGTGTACCACGAAGTTTCTAAACACTCATATAAACGATCAGCGCGTCGAGCTAGTCTATCAGTTTTTGAGATATCGTTCTGAAATTTTCCACACGTTCTTTTCTCCTCAGAATGCTGTTCATTCGTTGGAATCGCCGATATCGGACCACAATAGCATATAGCTGCCATACAAACTGAACTATCAAAATCAAGTTCTTGTGTGGAAAGCTATTTTATTTGTTGAAATATCTTCACAAAATTTGGCATGAATTATTGTCCAAAGCAGCAGTACAATATTCGAAGAAATTTTCTAGATCGGACCCCTATAGCATATAACTGCCATACAAACTGAACTATCAAAATCAAGTTCTTGTACGAAAACTTTTATTTGTAAAGAGTGTTATAGCTCCAGTAAACGTTTTTTCTTGTTTTATTTTTATTATATATATTTTTTTTTTTTTTTTTTTTTTTTTTTTTTTTTTTTTTTTTTTTTTTTTTTTTTTTTTTTTTTTTTTTATTTTATTTTTTTTTTTATATATGTATGCATATAGGTTGAATAAGTTATCGCGAAATATTTCATTGCTGTGGTTTATTCAATTTTGTTGTATTTTTTCGATAAATGTGTACTTTTGCATATCTAAATATCGCTATCCACTCTTAACTATTCCCTAAGTGAGCTTTCGTCAAATCATCGTCACAATGCACAGCGTCATAATAAATACAGTTCCATTACAATAAAAACATCTCTATTAGTTTTATCTGCCAAAATGTAAATTGAAGATGTCTTTATATRTTACTTGTGTTTGTATGTATGTACATACATATGTGCAATGATTTTAGTCATCAACGCAACTAATTGCTGACATCTTCAAGATCACAATTTGCCATCAGCGCCGCCAGTGTCAGCAACAGTAGCAGGACTGACTTATAAATGCATGGCCAAAGACTTATACTGGTGGCATTGTGATAATAAATACTCATACACACACACACATGTATATGTGTATATGCTAACAATAAATCCATTGTTTAGTTAGTAGTTTCACTGGCATTCTTTTTACGTGAAAGCGCACTAAGTATCTATGTAAGTATGTACAGAGCACTGTGTATGTGCATAAGTGTATATATGTTTATATATGTATGTCTGCATATAAAGTTTTTATGTGTTTTATTGTTGTTGTTTTTTGTTTAATTTTTCCTTTGTGGTTCTGTTTCATGCACTTTGCCACCACAATGACGTTTTATCTTTGCTATTTGTGAAAGATTCTACACATTACAGACACACACACACACACATAAAGCCACACAAATACGCAACCGCATCTCGCATGTGTTGCCAATCGACAACACGAACTCAAGTGTTTGTACTCGAGCATATTTGTATAGTATCCGTATTCGCGCTGGGTACTTGGCTATTTGAAAGGGAAAACATTATTATCAATGCATAATTAGTGCATTTAAGCGTCCATAAAAATTGCATTGACTGCTTGCTGCTTGATGTACGGTTAATTTGTTGTGATAATTATGTGATGAGTATATGATGAGCGATTTATTGATATGAGTGGACGCGATAGTGTTGTTGCAACAAACAAATTATTTATCAATCTGCATAATAATTAATGAGTTATAAAGCGGAATCGTGTTTTTTCGGTAATCCGTCGTTCTGAGCTCCGACCTCTTCAGCCAGATGAAAATATTAAGAAAGTGAAGGATATGGTTCTTGAAAATCGACAGGCAAATGTTAGAAAAATAGTAACAAATATGTCAAGAGAGTACATCCCAACAAAGCTGAATTTTTATTTCCTAAAGACTACCGCAAACAGATCTCTTTAGACACATTTGTTTGTGCGAATTTCGATCACACATTCATGGTGAGCTTTAATACTGGCGATGAAGTTTATGAGTTTGTCATACAAACAAGTCAACAGTCATCGAAATGGAGGGTGAAAAAATGTGCCGAAACCAAAAAGATCACACCAAAGCCGCTCAAAAATTAAGGTAATGCTTATTGTTTTTTCGATATTCGTGGTTTGGTGCATCACGAATTTGTTCCGGAAGGATAGATGGAATAACAATCCATGAATTTTACAAGATGATAACGCACCCTCGCATCGAGCCACGATTGTGACCGAATTTAAAGCCAAAAACGCAATAAATACCATCGATTACCCACCATATTCACAAGATTTGTCTCCGTGTGATTTTTTTTTTTTTTTTTTTTTTTTTTTTTTTTTTTTTTTTTTTTTTTTTTTTTTTTTTTTTTTTTTTTTTTTTTTTTTTTTCCCCTCCGTGGAACCCGTTTTCAGTCGATCAAAACGATGAAACAAAATTCGCTGAAGAGCTGAAGTTCCTCCCAAAAAAGGCTTATGAAAACTATTTCAGAGGCTAGAAAATCGTTTGCAAAAGTGTATTACTGTGGGAACTACGCTGAAGACGACAAAATAAATATTGATGAATAGTTAAATATTTTGCGTTTGCTTCAGATGCGGCCGTATTTCGGCGATATCGTCCTTCGATGTAATAGTCGATGTTGATGGCGCTCATTTCTTCAAGGTTGTGAGTGCTAATTATTCCATACCAATCCCATAATACAGACCCCAAAACCTTGCCAGCCGACTGTTGTGTTTTTCCATGCCTTGCAGCCGGTTCATCGTGTGCAGTTCACTCTGAGTGAAAGGATCGCGCCCCTTTCATCCATTTTCACTTATCGACGCTAAAACTCAGATGTATTATGCTTGAACAACGCTAAGTACTGCTCCGAACCAACGGATTGTGATTGTCTTTGGTCGAAAATGAGTTCGGCATAGTTAATTGACGTTTTAAGCAGAAGTATAGTCCTATAAAGTGTTTTATCATTTTTGCCATGATATACAGGGTTTTCTCGAAAACATTTAAACACAAAGAAACACGTATTAAGTTGTTATCTTAATGTTTTACCCTTTTTTTTTCTTATCTTTCAGGTGCTGGTGAATCGGGTAAAAGCACAATTGTCAAACAAATGAAAATTATCCACGAAAGCGGGTTCACCCCAGAGGATTTCAAACAATATCGGCCGGTTGTATACAGCAACACAATACAATCATTAGTTGCAATACTTAGAGCGATGCCAATACTCGGTATTGCGTATCACAATAATGAACGGGAGGTAAGTGCAGTAACTTATAGTAAAGAAAATGCAAATTTTTAGCTCGTACAGCGTGCCGTTATGATTTTCAATAAATTGTTACCAATAAACAGCTTTCCGAACATATTCAAACACCATTCAAATAAGACGCACAAGCGACACAAGCCGCATACACAACCTGTATGAACTCAAATCCTTCACATATTTTGCATTAATTGATTTGCTTTGAAGTAGAATCAGGTTCTGTTCCTATTTAAAATGTACTATATAAGAAGTATGTTTTATATTTCTATTTGCCCCTAGTGGTTCTGTCGACTTTCTGACACAAACGTCTAAGCCTCTCAGGCAAATTCTGTCAAATGCTCAAGGTTTTTGTGTCGCATTACTGGTAACCACATTAAACTTGGTCTAGTGCCATTCAATGTTCATTATATAACTTCAAAGCTGACTGAGTAGTACTCCGACATTTACAACGCCTATCAGACTTTAGTTGGGCAATAAAAAGATCAGATGTTATTAACTAGCATTTATCGTGTTCTCTTTCGGTAATAGAAAAGCAAAATAGCCTAATGAAGGGTGATCCACTTCAAGATTATCAAACTTTTTAAAGAGAAAATATAGTAACTTCGAATTTCATGAGAAATGTTTATTAATAGAACATTCTTTGGCATTTATTTTTTGAAGAGTATCTCTTGCAAATGTTGTCCGCGGCTACGTTTCAGATGGCCCATCCGTTGAGTCCAATTTTCGATGACTCGTTCGAGCATTTCGACTGGTATATGTCGAATGAGACGAGTGATATTTTGCTCCAAGACCTGAATCAAAGCTGGATTGTCCGCTAACATCTTAGACTTCCCCACAGGACAAAAAACTAATGATGTGATATCACACGATCTTAGTGACCAATCGACCGACCCAAAACGTGAATTTATCTGCTCACCAAACTGTTATCTCAATAAATCCGTATATTGATGCGATATGTGAGAAGTGGCGCCGTCTTGTTGAAACGAAAGGTCGCCGGCATAATTTTTGAATAAATATGGTCCCATGATTCCTCCGATCCACAAACTATATCAAAGCGTTGTTTTTTCTGAATGCAATGGCAGCTCTTGTATCTCTTCAGGTTGCTCTTTGTTCCAAATGCGGCAATTTTGCTTGCTTGCACACCCAATGAGCCAGAAAAAGACCTAATGGCTGAACAAAATTGGGCTCGAAAACGACGGATCTTCTAGGAACTTTTTAAAAGCCCATAGAGCGGATCGATGTCGCTTGTGAAAGTCGAACGGCTTCAGTTTTTGCACTAGCTGTATTTTTTGCGCTATCCTGACGTAAAATGTGCCAAGTCGTTCCATATGTTAGTCCGAGTTGCTGCGAAGGGCGCAGAATCAACTCAATGTTAGAATTGTACAAAATGTCTAGAAAAATAATATTTGACTATTCGGTTTGGAAAAATTCAAATTCTATTTTGGAACCAGCATCAACACCAACAACAACGTCAGCCTCGAAATCCAACGCGATATTCCTTGCCAACAGGTGCTACTTCGGACTGAATAGGCAATTGAGAAGTAAAGTCTCTCTCGATGAACAAATACCAAATTCTATGAGTCACTCATCATCCTCGTCCAACTATATGGTGCAGAGACATAGTGGATGACAACACCACATTCGATGGAAAGGTGAGGTATACGAGTAATACGACGACATTGACATAGTACAGCGCTTTAAGAGAGAGCGACTACGCAGGCTAGGTCATGTCGTCCAAATGGATGCTCTGAAAGTATTCGACGCAGAACCCGACGGGGAAAGCAGAGGAAAAACTCCACTTTGGAAAAACCAGGTGGAGATGAACATGGCTACACTTGGAAACTCCAATTTGCGCCAAACAACGAAAAGAAAGAACGACTGGACGTTGTTGTAAACTTAGCCAAAACCGCGTAAACGGTGTCTACGTCAATAAAGAAAAAAGAAAGCATTAGAGCCGGTAGTGAAGTCTTCGAAAACGTTTTCTTCTTTTTCTACTCTGTTAACGAAGATAACCTTAAAAAAGTTAAATAAACTATGTTAGAAAATACTTTTGTTGACATCAGAGACAGCAGCGAATCTCAATATCCTTTATGGATCGGCTCAAGTCATTTTGCTTAATGCTTTTGGTATGAAGAGTGGTAATATTAAAATTGTTCCAAAAGATCAGTATTCGATGTCGTGATGACGTAACTGACTTTTTGCTCATCATATTTGAGGCTCTATGACTTCTATTTTCGAAACTGAAAAACGAGCTACGTGAACTCGTCATAATATATAATAACGGAATGAAAATGAACCAGTTATAGACGATATATAACGTAGAACTTAGTTAATCTAAATTTTTGAAAGCACAATAAACCCGTTGTTCTACTTCATTGAGCTTAAAAGCTTCAGCTCACCATGTAGACGCGCAGGACCAGTGATCTTAACTGAGTCTATGTTAAATATCCACGTGTGTATATGTATATGTTAATACGCTAAAGAGCCAAAGTCGAAGTGTGTAAATGTGGGCTGAGGTTGTGGCTTGTTTGTACTGGTGCAGCCACAGCTCAAACACACAACCAAACCAAGCCACACGTATGCATATCTTAATTGTTATGGCTTTAGGGATGCTGTTTGTGGCAAGTGGCGTTGAGAGTGACAACGAATGCACATACACAGGCACATACATATATATATATATATATATATATATGGGTGTATTTATGCGTGGTAACATTTTGTGGCAACTAAGCATATGTGTGTGTGTGTGGAAGTGCGTTGATGTTATTACATTCGATGTCCTTTGCGAATTGCAGCTGCCATTACATTTTCCGTTTGTCATACTCTCACATTCCGCTTGCCGTGTTTTAATATCCCAACAGACCAACATACATACAAACCAACATATACTTACACATACATCTCATATGTATGTATGTATGTATATAAGAAAGTTAATCTACACAGCTTTAAGGTCTTGCCAGTTGATACATACGTCTCCAGTCTGCATACATATCCTTATTTCTAAGAACATTAATAAACTCACGTTCGTGTATATAAATATATATGTATATAAGTATATATGTGGGTTTGTGAACGTGCTCTTATGTATTTCCTTTATTGCTTTCAGAATGATGCAAAAATGGTATTTGATGTTTGCCAACGCATGCACGACACGGAACCATTCTCAGAGGAGCTTTTGGCTGCCATGAAGCGATTGTGGCAGGAAGTTGGCGTTCAAGAGTGCTTCTCACGTAGCAACGAATATCAATTGAATGATTCAGCTAAATAGTGAGTACATTATTTTTATAACCATTTAATTTGATTTACAAATACAACAACTAGCCGACTTATTGATTTAATTCAAATATTATATATGCGTTAGTAAAGGTTCGTTTTTGGAGTATACAATTTAAAGTTGTGATCAAGAATTTAGCTTCATTATAAAGATGTGTTAAAACAAGATGTTTAACAAAGATTTCTGGCAAGTCTCTTCCACGGCTGACTCAAATTCATTTCAGTCGAGATATCAAATTTTCGACCACCGATATCCATTTTAGACCATTTTTTGCAGCAATCGTGACCGTATGTCAGCTATAACGCGCCGCGTACGCTCTTCCAAGTCGTCAACTGTCGCCGCCTTATCTGCGTAGACAAGTGATTTTACATAAAAAATAGTCCACGGATGCAAGATGATGTGCTCACTAAAAGTTTCCTTCAATAAATTGATTGCAGCGCCGTCTTTTTGGCACCTATGATGATTCAGTTCAACATTGTCCAATTAGGGCAAGAAAAATTCTTAACTATCTATGCTATATATGACCGCCTTCATTTTTCAATATATTTGCACCAATGCTCCCCTTCGCCCATAGAGCACAACGAAGAGTCACTTTTTTAGGATGTAACGGCGTCTCAACAATACCGTGCAGTTGATCATCTCATCACACAAACTTCCAAAATTTTGTTTATTAACGTATTAATTCAACCAAAAGTGAGCTTCATGTCGTGTCCATACCAAATTTTCTTAACAAAGTCGGCATCGGTTGCCATCTCGTTTTTCTTAAGCCCAATACAATGGGCAATCTCATCAGCTATTTCCTTGCCTGGAACTCCTTTGTGATCTCGTATGAAGTATATATGGAGCCGCTTTCCGGCAGCCACTACACATACTGCCGCCCTGTTAAGGAAGTTCTCTTTCGTAATGCGATCTGAAATTATTGCCTTAATTGCTACGGTCTGTCGACTTATTATATATATCGATCTTCTTTAAGTTGTTTCCTGCTAGTTAGCTATTTCAGTCGCTTTTTTGACTACAAATACTTCCTCCCAGAAAAAGCTGCTGTATTCAGTAAGCTTGAAGGCTTTCCTAAGATACAGCACCGTGAAATAGAGTCTAATCAAGGTACGTAGACCGTAGACCACTTGTAACCCTCGGCCAACTCATTGACTTTTAACTGTGGTTGTAAGGCCGATTATGGCATAAGGTATATTAATTTGGTGGCCAATAATGGACACTACTCGGCATTTTACATGTACCGCCGTCTCGACTTAGGTTAGGTTAGATTAATCTGGTAATGAAATGGTCCTTTGCGATACCAGATGTATTTAGGAGTACTAGATCCAAGGGGATCCCTGCGCTTGACGCGAATTTCAACAGATTCGGTGTCCTCATTATCGATACCTCAGGACAAGTGCACCACGGATGATTCGTTGTTTCCCTGGTGCCTTGCTCTAGACATTTCATGCAGGCTTCTCTTTCTATCTATCAACCAGACAGCAGTGACCAGTTAGTATTCCGGTCATTGTCCTACAGTCTCTTTTATCGAGTGCCAATAGGAATTTTGTGTACATGAATTTTTTTCAGTTTTGCAACCAGATAGCTAGTTCCATCGGGTTTTGGTTTTCTTTACCATGCCATCCATCAAATCTTCATTTATACAATACATACATAGGTTTTCCATGTTGTTCACGTTTTCAGGGGTTAGCCTTACATCATTCTTGGCAATCTCGTCCACTATTTCAGAAAGAAAGTTGAATCATGTCGGTTTTTGACAAGCCTTCATTACCCACCAGGCTATGCCCGAAGCTTCTATATGTAAATTCTACTGTAGCCAGTAGACGTCCTGCCAATTTTGCTGCGTAGTTTTCGACGCAGAGGTCTATAAGTGGCAGGCTTAGTACCAGTTCAAGAGCCGTCGTTGGAGTTGTTATTAAAGCTATCATTATGCAGCGAGCCTCTGAACGTCTTGGCTTAAGTTTATATATCAACTTTTTTATAACATTAAAACCAACCCAAAGGTTTAGCATATAGCGCCATCTATTGACAAACATTTTTAAAGCTTTTTAATATTTATATCTTGTGAGCTTTATCAAAATTGTTATATTATATAATTATTATTTTTATGTGAGATTTCCGTTAAATATAGATATGTAAACAAATTAGACTATATGTACCACAAATGTTTGATATAATATACTAGATGTGTATATACATATGTATATAGCTATAACTAAATATGATACGACCATAAGGTTCATAATTTATACAAAGCATTGGCATAATTTGCATTTGTGCTGAGCAAATATTGTACGAGCAGCACGTATTACAACCATATTGGCGAGACTAAAGTATAATATTGAACGTAAATAATAACAGCAGCAACAACAACAGCAACAAACTAACAGTGCAAATATTTGAATATGCAAACTCATACGCTCCCACGCGCACATTACGCTGCACTGCAACGCCGCTGGTGATTTTGGCAAATTCTACACCAACGCTGTTGAATCTGCTGCCTGCCTGCCTGACCCTCTGCACACTGGCACCACCGCTCCCATAAAACAGCTCGTGCGTTACTCAGCCCTTAGCGTCAATTTGAAATTAAGTGGCGACTCTGGAATGTAGGTTGAATTCACTTTGTACACTAATTCGCCGGAATTATATTCCACTTTGTATTTTCGAAATATCTGCAACGAAAACAAGCATAAACAAAATGAGATGACACATGTGTGATGCGAGCGTTTGCCTTAAAATGGCCAAGTGGCTTAAGTGCATATACTAGATATGCTTAGATAAGTGCAAACCATTTCACAACGCAGCATTGCAAAGTGATGAACAACGACTTTTTATTATTGTTTTTGCGTGCATTATTTTCTGTAGAGTTCTACCCTGGCGTTGCATTTCCAAAATCATAAAATTGTCTGTGGGCCTACTATCATGGGCAAAGTAAATGAGTAAGGTGGCTTTCGTTTGCGAAGCGTCGGTGTTGTTGTTGTAATGGCAAAAAATATTTTTAATGGAATTCCGAAAAATTGTGGCGAGTTAACAGTCCTTGAGCGGTTAGAATGTCGGGTCCGTTCCGCAAAAATTAGACCCGAATGTCAAGGGAACTGAAAAGGTCGGTGTCATAAAGTCATTGAGGACGATTTTTACTGTTTCTATTGCTTGAAGCATGTCTTAAATAGTTTTCGGGATTGCGACCAATTTAGTGCCTTACCGGTTTTGAATTCGCATACTTTTCGGTTTAATAGTGCCAACTGTCTATGTACTTGAGTGACTTGGCCGACTGTCGTTGGAATGCATAGTCTGCAATGAAGTGATCTTAACGGTTCTATTATCTCACCTTTGGTCAGGTATGACCGTGTATGATTTGAGTTGATTCTTCAGTGGTAAAACTGGTGTTCGGAACCTGGAAATTATTGTATCAGCACTTTGTACTGTATCCAACCTTGTCATCAAAACCTGCTGAGACTGCATATTAATACTTATCCGTACATGGGTTCCCAGTTCGTTGGAGAATTTCGCCGTTGTCTATGAAAGTTTAACGGATCACCAGCAACGCTCAGAGACTCAATATGCACCCGAACTCTAAATGGAGTGGCATGAGCTTCACAGCTTCTAATGTCGCATCAAAATGTCGGTGATGTCCCAAAATATGTGCCATGGTTTTGACGATACATGGTTTCCGAGGTCCAAAGGAATTCAAAACTCGGATTCCAAAATTCGATTTTCAGCTAATAATATGAGGTTGTCGTACAACTGAACAATCAGCGATCCATATGTTGCAAATTCACTCTTCAATCCTTTTCGTAAAGGTTTATTTGCACTTGAGGTTAATTCACTTATTTTCGAATAGATCTATAGTATACCAGTGACTCGTCTTTTTGTGTCGATTTGCCTCGAGGAATTCAGTGGCTCGTTTTTCTTTTCTTTTGCAAATTATTTGTTTTTCTTATGAATTCGTACGATTTACTCTTTCAGACCAGTATCCTGCTATGAAGTGGAATGACTTTCGATTTGTTAGAAATCGGAATCATTTTTTAAACTTCCATAAATTTACGACCATATGTATGTACGATTTACTCTTTCAGACCAGTATCCTGCTATGAAGTGGAATGATTTTCGATTTGTTAGAAATCATTTTTTACCACTTTGGTCTTACGTTTCGGGGTTTCGGAAATCATTTTTTAAACTTCCATAAATTTACGAATCATATAATGCTTCGACTTGGTCTTACGTTGATTTTAATGTTGCACGATTTTCTCGGGATCCGCTTCGCAAATGGGTTCCATTTTATCTAAATTCCTTGTTTTTTTTTCCCAAAGCGCGGATCTGTTGATTTAGCTAGGAAACCAGTTCTTATTCATACCCATACTATGTCATACCAAAGGCCTCCAAGTAACTTTCCAATGCTTACATACATATTTATGAAATGAGCTCTCAAAGAGTTCTTTCTGTTTGCCTCCAGCTTTGATATGACCTTACTGAAACCCCTCTTTCATGTTTGTGCATTCACGTATTCATTCGTTTGCACATTGTGCGCGATACTCACCTTCGCCAACAGCATATTCAATTCAATTTCGGCAAACCGACGTCCCACACACATGCGTCGGCCATAGCCAAACGGTAAACTGACAAAGGGATGAATTTTGCGTCCGGCATGTGGGCATTCGGCACCTACGGATTGTAATGAAAATGTAAGGCTTGACTAAATTGCAATACACGCGTTCACACACACACGCGCGTACACTGGCTGAGGGCCTTTCGTGCGCGAAATTTGCACCGACATTTAATTTGTTTATATTTTTTTTTTTAAGAATTTATTTTGTTTTGTTTTACGCTCTCTGCGGTTGAGTGGGGCTAGCGTGTGTGAGTGTGTGTGTATTTTGTTTTCCTTTTCTGTGTCAATTGGCATTGGCATATGCAATGAATGCTCGGCATGGCTACTCACTCGTTTCGCCTCGCTTCAGCCAACGTTCGGGCAGAAAACGCTTCGGTTCTGGAAAATACG